GGAATTTAAGGACTCACTTTAGAGATAAGCTACGTGTCCCAAAGCACGGAAATCCAAACTCGCGCGAGCAGACAGTGCAAAGTATATTTTAAGAACTGTTTATTTTATTTCAGACGAAAATTGTGATTTATCATTTCCATATTTGATCGGAGAATGTAAATCTTGTACATGAGCTTGACTTTTGACTAGGGACTATTGTGTATTTTCTTTTGTCTTGCTGGAATAACAGAAGATGCCTCCTGAGAAAGGGTACCTGTCTGGTTTGTAGAGGATTTATGTTTGATAAAAAGAAAGAAACATCTTCAAATCTACCACTACTTCTGGCAACCCTAGATTTTGTTCGGAAAAGTTTGAATTCAAACTTTGGTCAATAAAATCTAGCATGTCTGGCGTCGGAATATATACAGTATTGTATACAATTGTGTCGCAAAGCATTTATAACAGTGTCCATAGTATGATCATCTACACTTGGGCTTATTTATTTAATTTATTAGATGTTTATTTTACGACATGACTGTGAGTGTCGCCTCCTATGAGTACTCGTAAAGCATAATCCGAGAGCTCAATAATCGTTTCCATTTTGATGGCGTTTTTCCTAATTTTCAAAATGTAAGAAGATACGCTTGATGGTTCTTCCACTCTTGATATTGACACTTTTATAACTTTACCATGGTATTTGCAAAGGTCATGACTTGAATTAATTGAATTTGTATGACTCTTTGTGTATTTGTATGGTCTCACGTCTAGCTAGTGCAAGCAATGATGAAGTCTACAAAGAGACACATTTAAACAAGAAATGCTTGTTTAGAACTGAGATAAATAAACTTTGACTTATATGTCGGATTAAAAAAAAACTAAGAATGCAGAATTTTGAGATTAATGTAGGGGTTATACGTTTGACTTTATTTTAGGGTGAAAAATTTTGTGCTATGGTTTGACGTGTATCTTTATAGAAAAAAAGATATATAACAAGTGTTCGTTAAATACTGAGCTGCCATTTAACATTCTGCCTTTCAACGTTTAATATGAGCGTTCTGTTTCGTACTTTACCTTTCTTCGATCCGTAAACACACAACAAAGAAAGTAAATAAAACCAAACGTGGTAGAATATTCATATTCCCTTTTTGGGGGGTTGGGTGGTTTACTTTGTAGTTTTAAGCCTGCATCAATAATGACGTTCCGACTGTAATTGTGTTTTAAAGTTTTAAAGCAACTATTTGCCTATTACGAAATGAACAATGAGAGAGACGATGTGCAATCGATATATTTTATTGAACTGAATTAAATGTGATAAAAACGACAGACAGCGGATGACAAAGATAGAATTAGAAGATTGATTATTTATTCGTAGAATGAAAGGAACGGATATTTATGAGAAGCTGGTGCTTCATAGCGGGGTTTGCATCATGAGATCTATAGTGGATGTAAGTAGCTGAAGTTAGAATTAGGCCTAATGCTGGCTTTTCTCGACTTAATTTTTAAAGGGCAATAACATTTCATTACAAGTTGAATTGTGTGAAAACAGAACGATAAAAAAAACTGAGAAGTGAAAGTTTGAAAAAGGTTATAAAATGTAATGATTGAATGATAGGATTAATAAATGTATAATAATCTCTAATCGGCGTATTGGTCATTTAACTGGAGGTAATCATGGTAATTGGATACTAGTCCTCATGACTGTGTGAAACAGTTCCCTCTGAATATCTTTTTCTACAAAATACAATAAAGATCATGCTCAAAATTTAATCGAAAAATGAAATTTCTGTCATTGCGAGTGTTAAACAAATGACAGAGTAATCCGCAAATTTGCATTCCATTATAGCTTTTTTAACGAATTTAACTTTTTGTTAAATGTACTGTAGAATGGCCTTTCTGTGGTTTGTCTTATTTACATGATTTTGTTTCTGTTTCTCTCATTTTCCTACTTCAAAGGAAATTGCATAATTGTTAGAGAGTTTGGATTGGTGACGGTAACGTCATAGATTGAGAATAGTACCGCATGCATGGACAATCCACGCCTTGCTGATTTCTTAATTTAGGCACAGTGAGCTGATGAAACAATAATATAAAAAAGATCAAAGTAGCATTTAATACAGGGGAGGGTGGGATGTTGTTGCACACACAAGCTAGTCATTGTTAGGTCTATACATCTATTGGAATTTGATCTAACTGGTTCATTAATATTTAATCAAGACCTGAGACGAATTCGAGTCTTATTTCAATCAATGGCCATTGCATCAAACAGCAAATATGACGTCAACCGCGCACGCGCCTTACGTCTTTCGCTGCTTCCCATTCATTGTTCTTGGAAACTTGAGAAATGTCTCACGCTTCGTTTGAACTTGAAAATGACAGATTTACGTGGTATTCATGATGGGGTTAATTGCACTAATCAGCCATCAACTTCGGAGGGCAGATCCTTCAGGACATTTTCCACAGTTCTGCGGTCTGGACAGTAAAAACAGAGAATTATTTCAATCTGGACTTGGGTAATCCAGATTCAAATCAAATTACATGCCAAATCCTTATAATTTGAGAACTCTCTCATTTATAGGGCTTATAGCCTCCACTGCTTTGCTTTTCTCATGGTATAGCCAACTATCACCTCCATCACACTTTATATGACATTTTCGCTGTATATTTAACTTTCTCATTTTCACTCCTTCGCTTTCCTCATTAAAGTATTTATGAAATCACTAAAAGTAAATTCTCTCTTTCTCATGCAGTAGTAGAAAGACATCGCATTTATACAAACATTAACACAATACACTTAAATAATTAATTAATGATGCTTTTTGCAGTTGAAATGTAATCCATGTTTCTTTATTTGGCAATACAAATAAATGAACTGATAACAAATAAATAATTATTTACACAAAATAGGTTGTCAATCACTTTTATAAATAACACAACTTGCAAAATATACAAATGTATATCATGCTGTTTGTTCTGACGTATAACTTTATACATGACATGGACCCTTTAAAAACGTATAAGTTTATACATCGTACAGACCATCCAAAAACGTATAAATTTATACATCGTACAGACCATCCAAAACGTATAAATTTATACATTGTACTGACCATCCAAAACGTATAAGTTTATACATCGTACAGACCATCCAAAACGTATAAATTTATACATCGTACAGACCATCCAAAACGTATAAGTTTATACATCGTACTGACCATCCAAAACGTATAAATTTATACATCGTACAGACCATCCAAAACGTATAAATTTATACATCGTACAGACCATCCAAAACGTATAAATTATACATTGTACAGACCATCCAAAACGTATAAATTTATACATCGTACTGACCATCCAAAACGTATAAATTTATACATCGTACAGACCATCCAAAACGTATAAATTTATACATCGTACAGACCATCCAAAACGTATAAGTTTATACATGGATTTGGAGGGTGCGTGCCATGTATAAACTTATACATATAAACATACGTATAAACTTACACAGTGATCCTACAAATTGACCCTCTTAAAGTGATGTGAAACTTTAATATAATAACAAGGAGTAATTACAGCTGGAGTAAAAGCTTAACAATTTCCTCTGAAGTAGGCTCAATGCCACAACAACCACGACAAATATATATGCGCTCTCCGAATACATGCACATTGATTCAAAAGAACTAACGATGAAACACCCGCGGCCAGTATTGCTACAGAGGATGCACATATGCAATTAAAGGTATTCAATATAATGATAATTGGTTACACAGAAAGTGCTCATGAATGGTATAACCAGGTGTAAGCAAACAGATACACGTCCAAAAATACAAGATTTAAAGTTGCTAATTCCATGAGTGGACACATGTGGACTTTACTCTGGTTGATTTAATTTAATAGAAATATTTTCTTGATAGTACCATATAAAATATGAAAATCAGAAAAGCAATCAGCAAGGGATCAATATTGTACTTGAAGCAGTACATATTTATTACACTCTTAAGGCAATATCTCAAGAAATCTTGCTTGTTGAGGAATGGGATTTTCAGAGTGGCATCGTACATAATTACTAAACAATTGCCTATTTGTTTTCTATGTTTATTGATATAATAAATCAACTGTGCAAACAAAAACCCACAAAGTTCACATCCTCTCTAAAATGTTTTCTTTTACTTTGGTGGCATCGCGCATCAAATATCAAAGAACCAAGGCAGTTTAATAATTCTATTGACTATCCTTTGGAATCTGCCAGATGTTTGCATAAATTATCCTCAGTTTGGACTCCAGCTCTGATAATTCCTTGATTATAACTTTGAAGTATATGATCTTCCAACTACATCATTGATATCAACAACCGTCTTCTGATGCTTGGAAATGAGTTAGATCGAGTGTTTCATTTTGACAAGATGGTAACAAAATCAAGGGCCCAATAGTTGTGACCCGAGTTTTTATCCTTGATAAAATAATAATATGTGGGTTTTTGTGTTGATGCTTTAGAAAAATAAATAAGGTGACGAGTCACGTTCACCAACCCTGTGCCTTTGAAATTACCTTCAAAGTAATCAAGTTCACTTGGCAAGACAAAAATATGCTCTAATAAAAGATAATAATAATAATATTGCACTCTAGTATAGCGCTCATCTATATAGCAAGGTGCTCCTGCATGTATGTTACCTGACCTTAACTAGGCTACATATTTTGGTACAACATAGTTTGAGTGTAGTAAATGTATGTTAAGGTCTTGCCAAAGCTAGACCTTAGTGAAGTGGCCGAGATTTGAACCACATACATGTACCTAATGATCGGTAGTCCAGCCACCTATCTACTAAACTAAAAACACATCTACACATAGACTTAAATACTTGTATTAGATAGCTCAGAGAGTTGCTAAGGTGTGATTGGTCCACAGCATGTCAAGTGATATGGGGACTGCAATTTATTGTTAACAGTTCACGCCCGGTCATCTGGATGGTTATATTGACCAGCTGGTCAACGATAACAGTAGGAGCATATGCGCTTGAGCTAAGACAATGTATTCATGTATCAACAATATTCGTCATAACAGCTAAGCACAGAGAAGAAAGGCGAAGACAATGGATATCTACTGTAGATCAGACTCTATTAAACTGTTCGTGTTCAGACTTTCATGTAAAAACCATGACTTGGTCTTAATCAAGGTTATCTAATATTATAATAGATATTTCCTGTTATGTATGTAATACATATTCTTTAGCCTACCTAAAGGAGTTTTATTTTCCCTCATGAAAATACAACTCCAGCGGCCAAAAGAATGATATATAAACACCCTACCAGCCATATCTGTATAAAAATATTTACATAAAAACGTTAGTTTGTCACATATCTTAACAATATTTTTCAGAACTAAATGAGGTAGTGATCGAGGTGAGGAAATGAGAGAAACAAAATGCACTAAGGTATAGAACACGTCTGGTCCATGCTTAATACTAGATCTGCATCTAGAATCTCCTCCGAGTCTGCAGCACCCATCATGGCCTCTATTTCTGTGCTGGACAGTGTTGTCTCCTCTACCATCCTCCCATTTCGTCCACATTCTGCTGCAACCCTTGCCAGCAGTCCTGAAAATATAATAGAGAAAAGAATATTTAATTTTGTTTGTCTGGTGAAGCTTGTGAAGAACCAAGTTATTAGACGCAACACTAGGTAAAGTGCTTTAACCACAGCAAACGAGCACCTAATTCCATACCAAATGCATTACATATTGTTCATTTTTGTATTTTACTTTGGTAAGTTCAATATGGAATGCTTTAGTAAAGTTCAGTCTGTCTTTGATTTTCAAAGCTGGTTTTCGAGTTAAATTTGCTCAACATCTCTTTATCAATACATTTCTACTTAAATGATAAACCCCCTTTTTTAAATTTTTGGTTGTCTTACTAAAATAATACTTTTACATTATCAATAAAAAAGAAAAAAGAAAAAAAGCATAAACCCTTACTGAATGGGGCTATTTTGAAATTTGTAAGACTGGAGGGGGGGGGGGGCCTCAGAGCCTACCCCTTAAGTAACCAAATTTGGCACTGACGTTTCAATTTTCTTGTTAGAATTTTTAAAATCTGATTTTATTTCTCGAAAATGGTATACACATATGAGTTATAGTTTAAATAGACCAATCTGAATGTCTCAAATTTTAATATCTATGGAAAGTATTTTTAAATAGTGAATATGTGAGCCATTGTTTAAAAACAATATATCTAACGATCGGTTCTAATAACCACCGTTTTAATTTCTCTCCTGGTGAGAATATATATAAAAAATCTCTGTTTGTAACCTATCTAAAATGTTTCATTCCAAATTGTTTTTGGTTTCACAGTTTTTGAGAAGATATAAAGCTCTCTATATCTCTCTTGACTTGGATTTTTTTTAAATTATATGCTCACAATGTCATCTTAAGTCTTTAAGCTTTTACACAGTTCATTTCTTCTCAAACAGTTTTTATATGCCTTTTTTTTGCATATTTTTCAATTCTTATGTATTTCAATGTTTTATGAACATTTTTTTTTTTTGCATTCTACTGGAAAACTGGAAGAAAAAAAAAAAAAAAAAAAAAAAAATCGGCTCGACCTTTTATCATGAAAGGTCTGATTTTCAACACCTCAGTGTCATAAGATTTATAACACTTGAAAAAAAAATCATGAAGCGCTAGCTATTGCTGAAAATGCAATGGGTTTGACAACAAAATTTGTCTGGGGGGGGGGGGGGCGCCATCTGAGACCTTTCCGGTAAAGTTAGGGTTAACACAAATTTCCGACAAGGCACAGGGTTGCTTATTGATATTGACCATGATTTTGCACGACCCCAAGTCTCGTGACTAAAATCTTTGTTGTGCAACACTGGGCAACTTTGATGCTATTAATGTCAGTTATTATGCGTCTAGAATTTATGGATAGTGAAAAATAGGTAAATATACTTGAATTGAAAAAAGCCAATTTGAATTTACACAATTTGGACGTTATTTCACAACTTTCCTTTCCTTACATTTTATTTTATTTTTGTATTCATGTTGCTTTATTGGTATCTCTATATATTTAATCTACCCATTTATTCTAAAACTGTATCATAATTTAATTGGATCTGTATATAGATAAAATGTCTTACCGTCTCCAACGTCAAGAACCACTTCATCAATAGAAGTGAAATGCTCCACTGCATATTTGTAGAAGTCTGATCTTGATGGCATGTAGAGTTGGCTAGTGCCAGCACCCCTCCTCCTAGACTCGACAATACCATACTGCATACAGACATTATGGTTGACATCTGTTGATAAAATATATATGCACATTTTATATGGCTACTTAGAACAGTATGAATAAGCCTTAATTTCCTATAGAAGTAAAACGAATATACATACATGTGATTTTTCACATGAGGCACAATTTCTTTTCAAACAGATACAATGTGATTTTTTGAGTTCTGAATGCACCTTTTTCTTTAGGAATAAAAACCCAGACATTAGAAATGCATTTGTTTCACAATTACTCCGCAGTTGTCTAATTAATATAATTAGCTTGCTTTGGAGGTAATGTGTTTGAGATCACATGGCAAGCATCTTATCTTCATTTGTTCAGCATTAGTCAGCTATTATATGTTTTTTTTCCCCCAAAAGCATTCAGTAATCATTATTTTTTGAAGTTTTGAACATTCATTGTAAATGTCATTGGATTCTGTCAGAAGTTAATTTCTGTCATTACCAGAACTCAAGATTATATTTAAAATCCAAGTGATATAAACAAAAATTTATATGAATGTTGAGCTTCATAGGAGGATTTCTTAAGAAAGAATTTTCATTCAGATCGAGCAGCCAATCTAACACACTGGAAGTTATACGGTAACATTCTTTCTTAATAATTTATATTTTTTTAACACACACTGCAGCTATCTCATTATTACACAACCACAAAAACGTTTGTTATGTTGCTTTGAATACCGAAATAACAGTCAGCTTCATAAGATATTTAATAAAAGACATGGAACATGCATATAGTTACCTTGAATATCTCCTACTGGGGACTGGACAATATGCAATATATGCACATCGTGTCGGGTATGTTGGCTGACCACTTTGGATATCGCTGTGATGTCCTTTGTCAGGAAGATTCTGGTAGTAGCCGATGGTGTTGAGGATAACTGGATATCCTGTAATATCAGAAATTCAAATAAAAAGGAAAGAACATACAAATTAACTATAATTCTAATATGTTGAGCCCAGATAATATACACAATGCAAAGTTCTGGAAACTGTTTTTTTTTATTTATACCCTTTTCATAATTATCTGCAGCTTAACATTTGCTATGTTGAATCAAAATAGAAAAATCAAATTTGAAAATAGGATGAAATAGCATGTGGGTGCAGTTTTCCATGCCAGTCGTCTGGGCGAAAGTGCCATTGTACGTAATATATGACTTGTGGGAAAATTGCAATTTCTATGCCATGAATATAATTGTTTGTTTTTTGTTATCAATGACAAATTACCAATGATTTTTCATCAGCATAAGATCATTCTCCATGTAAATCCCTTAACCTTGAGTTCCTTATAGATTACAATATTACAACTTTGAGATATTTTAAACTCACAATTTTGAGATTTGTTTTATGTGAAATTCAGTTTACCTCTTTCAATTACCAAGTGCCTACAAATAAGTGCTTTGGAACCTTAAGAATATGGGACAATACCTCTTCTAGTTCTTGTATCATAAGGGCTGGGATGTCGTCTGCATTCATGTCCATGTCTCTCTTGGCCCTGCTGATGTGCTCCAGGAAGACCTCTGGGATGTTACCTTTTGTATACTTTTTACCTGAAAAAAATACATATACATTGATCATAGAGCTCCGGAGTCAATTTGACCCCCCCCCCCTCCCCCCACAATATCTTGGCCACAGAAGGTCTGATTGATGGGAAATTTTGCATGGACAGCAATGCACATGCAAAGAAATGTTGCTTTGATGTTTGTTTTTTACAAAAATCACTCATTTATTACTTTATTATAATTCATGCAAATTAAATTCCTATTTTAACACATTCAATAATATATCATTAAACAAGGCAAACGCCAAGCGTTGTCTTGCCTGCATCTTAGGCCCTATAAGCAGATCAGGAGGTGAATTTTGGGTTCTGGTAGTTTACTCTTTAGCAATAATGGAATCCCAAGGAAAGTCTGTTTTCCTTTTGACCTGTTGCCTTTGACCCACATTTGAACTTGACATGTTTTATAGAACAATTTAGAAAAGGCAGTATTTTGTACACAAACGTACTATGCAAAATGTCAATTGTGGCTAGACGTGTGGTTAAGTAATGTTGCATAACCTCTAGCATGGACTGTCCCAATTTTGGGGCAAATTTGGTCTCAAAAGTTGCGAGACAATAAAGTCATTGAAAGGCAGGTTGTGATTTGTAGCGGTTACGTGGCAGTCCTGGATTGTGTACGGGGGAGGCAGGGGCCAAATTGACCCCCCCCCCCCCCCCAGTCAGAATAGTCAACCCTACTAGTTCATCTAAACTTTAAAATTTGGATTGATGGAGATACAGGATAGCAATTATTGTATATCTTGCTGGGGCTCAATATTCTCTTCAATAGACATTATACGAAGCCATGATTTGTGCATACCAACATAGGGTTCCAGGGCTGCTTCTGAAGTGAAGGTTGGGTATCTTTCTATCGCCTCTTCCCACGTCTTAGCCCCAACTCCCTTAGCAAACACGCTCTTCAGACTCTTCATTGCCTTCAGTTCATCGGCATCCGCCTTCATCTTTTTAACATTCAAAGACAAGGTCGCCTCCAGAAGAAGTGAATATCGCTCCTCTTCTGAGAGTCCTTGTAGCTTCATGAAACACTATAAAATAAGACAAATGAAAATAATAAGAGTAGTTATTAGTGCACGTGAAGTATTGTTGCTCACTGTCAGAAGACAAATTTTATTTGCATATATATGAACTATCAACTTTTTCAATCAAAGTCAATTCTTCTGCAAAGAATCCCCAATTCATCTATTGTTTGATTTGAATATGTAAAAAACTATTGCTTTAACCCTATTCTCACTTTGAGTGCAAGCTTAATGCGAAATATTGCAAGGACGTCAATACAGATTTGTTTTTATCACAAATTTGTTACTTTATTATAATTTATGCAAATTAGATACCTATTTTAACATATTCATTAATATTTCATTAAGTTATGAAGCTCAATCTCTTTTTTAAAGTTGCTGAATAGCATAGGCAACAATACTGAAATAATAAATAATGAAATTTCCGATCAATTCTTTTGTATTCTATTGTTTCATAAACTACTTATGTATCTATTGTTTTCATTTATATATGTGATTTTTTTCATGTTTCAAAAGTGTATCTTGAAAAGTTTCAAGACAAGTATGGTCAGGCAAAAAGACTAGAAGGCACAATTAACAGTGTTGTAAAGCAATTTAGGAAAAGCAGTATTTTGTACACGAACGTACCTATGCAAAAAGTTGATTTTATTGTTAATTTTTAGAACTCGGTCTCAAAAGTTGCGAGACAAACAAAAAAAGTCAGAAAAAGTCACCGGAAGCCGTGTCGCTATTTGCAGCCATTGCGCATCAGTCACAGATTTTGAACAGGAAATTGAACCCCCCCCCCCCCCCCCTCCAGTCAGAATAGGGTATCCGCCAATGGTGGCGCTATATTACTTTATTTACTTTGGTTGTGATGATTTGATAAACTCCTTATAGCGGCTGAATAAACCACAATTCTCATTTGCACAGAAAACATGTGGTATGTGTGACATCCAGTCCAGCTCAATTTTTGTATTTTTCATATAGCTCATTACTCAGCAATAATATACATTTTCTACCAAAAAGTTTTGAACATTCGCAAGTCAAGTTTTGTTCGATTCTATGAAGAAAAAAAATGCTTTCCTTCATTACTCAAGATGATATTTAAATGTGTAAAAAAAAAAAAAAAAATTTAAAGCTTACTTACACATTGTTTCAAATCCTTTCCAGTAGATTCTCTAGTTGCATCGAAAAGGAGAGTGGCTTTCCTGTAGCATCTGTTTGAATAACTAGCCAACTGGAAAGTTGGCTCGAGAGCCCTCAGTGCCTGTAAATTACAACAAAAAAAGAAATGGATAATATATGCTCTCATAACCAGTTTGATTCTGAACATTCCAATTCATTCACTGCAATCACCATTGCATTACATAATTCACCATATTGTAATATGACCCCTCAAGTTAAAATATAAGAAATGTTAGAACTTTTTGGCTAAAATTTATGTTTCCAACAGTCACTCTTGAAAGCTCGATCATCTCAAATCAATCATTGATTAAACTCCATTTTGTCATGTACATGTAAGTTGGCTGAATATAACAATAACCTTTTTATTGGGGGGTTGGGTGATGTTCATGAGTTTTTATGCTGAACATAAATCTAATTTAATGTCCGATTCATCGTTTCATTAAAAAAAAACCTACTTCGCTACAAGTAAAAATAGAACATTGAATGAATTCAGCATTTTATCTAGATGAAAATGTCAGATGAAAATGTCAGCTCTAGTGTTTAGACTTACATTGAAGGAGCCATTTTTCCCAAGGGCTAGGGAACACTTGCGTCTTGTCGAGGCAGTCATAGTGCAGGGCTCATCCTCCACATCAAGGTTGTTGTCATCGTATAGAATTGACCTGCAGACAGCAACCTCCTCCTGCAAGCACGGCTTGTCTACAGCAGGTTGCCCACACCTATGCAGTGATGCCACTCTCAATGCCTCAACCTTGTCCAGGTTTTGGTACACCCTGCAGCGCCATCCACGAGATAGATGTTCATATCTAAAGCAATCAGAAAAAGTATATTGGTTATAGGATATTGAGATGGGTAGGATATAGAAACATGGTGTATATATGTATCATGCAGAATAAAATATTGGAAAAAAGCTTACACGGTATACCTTTCCATGCAGTCACACACTTTTTAAGAAAACAAATATGAACATGGTACACAAGGGAAATATTCTATGGGATTTTATTTGAGTCAGGGATCTAAAAATATTTTGTATTGTCCTTAATATACCCTTCATTGTATAACTATAAATGGAACACCTCTCTATTACCATTTTTCTTCCCAAATGGTACATTGACTACCTGGGTAGCATTTCTTTTATGTTACATGCTTCCACTACATATTTGTGGACTGCATAATAAATGGAGAAAAAAAAAGACAAGTGATAAATGAATATGTTCTGTACATATAATATCGGTAAGTACATCACATAATCCCTTTAAAAATTTAACCTTTGTCTCATACACTGTAACTACAAAAAGAAACAAAAATAACATTAAAAAGCAATTGCAAAAACGGGTAACTTTTATAGAATAAAATACCTTTCATCGTCAACAAGATCCTTAGCTGCAAGAGCATAGCACACCCCTCCTAGGAGCTGGTAAGCTGTTCCAGAAGGGCCATCTACTGCGAGGACTGGAAGGACATGGGAGCTCTGGAAGTGGGTTGCTGCCTTCATCACGAACTGTTTGGCCTCCATCACTTCCTTCCTGGTACGTGGTCTCTGGAGATCCTTCTCGGGCTCCACAAGTTTTTTGAGGGAGATTTCAGAAATGCCTACATGTAAAGAAATAAAATTTCAGGTCAATGACACATTTTCAAAGATTGTGACATTTAAATCTTTAATGTTTATAAATAATATCCCCTGTGCAGAGAACAATCTACATTTTGAAAATGACACCAGGGGCCCGTTGCATAAAGACTTACTATTATGGTAACTTTGCCATTATGGTAACTACCATGGTAACCGGGCTCAGCAGCCAATCGAAATCAAGGTTTCTATGGTAGTTACCATAATAGTAAGTCTTTATGCAACGGGCCCTGATACATATTATTAGTAACTGGATCAAAACACACAGAGGCTCATCAGGGAAATTTTGTCCTAGAGCTATACAAAAAATATTCCTATAGCCCTTTTCAATTCAATCTCATTTTGCCTTATGTGGAAAATGCAACATATGAACATTGTTTTGGGGAATTGGCAATTAATCATTTTTCAACTTTATTTTGGTTTTAATCAGCAGTTGGCCATTTTACCTTCCCTGTGGCTATTGCAGAGGGGCATTAAATAATCAATTTGGCCCCAAACATGTACTTCATAAACAATAAGAAAAAGGAGATTGTAGTTTTGATGAAAAAAATGGAAATATTTGTGGTATTTGTATAGGAGTCCATTTAAAAATTGTTTGAAGTTATACAAAATCAAATAATAAAAGTGGAATGTCCCAATTTTATCAGGCTTTCAGTGCTGTTATATTGATAAACTATTTTGTACACATTCTCTCCATGATATTTGCATTTCTCTTTGATTTAAAAACTGCCAATCAATAACATCACATTTAAACTTAGTGATATCATGTAGAGAGAAATGTTGTACGTCTGGAATTATTAGTGAAATGAATTTTGTAAAAGAATGGAACACAAACTAACCTTGACATTTTTGTTCAATTGCTGCATCTGAATTCTCCGCCGAATGTTCAGAAGTCTTGTTTCGTCTCTTACGTTCTGGTGGAGTTCCGTCGCTGCTAGATCCAGAACTGCTACGTTTTTGCCTCGATTGTGTGTAAGATTGAGAAGGAAGGAGTTCTTCCTCTGATGACGGAAATGAATAGATCATGTCGTCATTAACGATCGCCATCACTGACAAAACATCGGTCAGGCTGTTCTCCGTTTTTTTCAAAGTCTTTGCCATGTTTGTGACACTCATTTGGCAAAACTTTGCCTGTGTAGAAAGACCATTACTAAAACAGACCTGGGAAGAAAGTAAATCGGACAAATACAGGCATTAATATAAGCTGCTTAATGAAATTATATTCATTTTGCTTTGACAACCTCACACAAAGATTATAAGGGATACAGTTGAATGTTCTACATGTTTGCCTAGAACTAGAAATATCACCGAAAGTGATTAATACTCACTCCCCATGTGTGTGCACGAAAAATGAAGAAGTGGTTTGATATATACAAGATTTTACAGATTTATTGCAATAATAGACCATTACCATGGCAACACACTTTCCGACACATTAAAAAATGTGTCTTGCACATAATCAACTCAAGACCAATATTTGTGCGAAATTTAATGAGCATTGCTCGAAAAATGAAGAAGTGGTTTGATCTGCAAGATTTTACAGATTTATTGCAATAACAGACCATTACCAATGCAACGCACTTTCCGACACATTAAAAAAAATGTCTTGTACATAATCAACTGGAGACCAATATGTGTGCCGAGTTTCATGAGCATTGCTCAAAAAAATGAGGAAGTATACATGTATATAGTTCGATCCACGAGATTTTCCCCCGATATATTACAATAATATGCCGTTCCCATGGCAACGCAGTATCCAACACAGTAAAAAAGTATGTCTTGCACATCTCCATCCTAAGACCAATATGTGTGCCAAGTTTCATGATCATTGCTCAAAAAATGAGGAAGTAGTTCGATCCACAAGATTTGCAACAGACTGACCGACTGACCGCCCGACAACCCGACCGTACGCCAATTCCTATGTACATGTATACCCCCTTCAAACTTCTTTTGGCGGGGGAACATGCAAAAAAAGATCCCTTTTTCCTTGAATGCCAATTTTTACTCATATTTCTTTGTTGTACATGTACATGTAGCTAGGGTAGATATGTTTTGCATAATATACAAATTACAATTCCCCTTGAGAAATCAAGAGTGAAGTTGTAGTCTGCCTGATGATCGTGTCATGTAACATACAACAAATGTGCATGCACAGGACATTCAGAAACTTTTAGTAAGTCGATTTCCTCCGAAATGTACAAACAGTACAGACTATATACCTCTATGTTTAGAGAAACAACCTATATTTTGCACTCTCATTAATTAGATGAATTTTCATTAATACAATTGCGATACAAGTATGGGATGTATAACTTTCAACAGTTTGCACTGCGGTAGAGTTTAGATTCTGCCCTCGTTATAAAGGAGAATAAACTCCTCAGAGACAATTGAATTGTAAGAATGCAGAAAAATTAAAGTAACATAAATGTCAGTGAAATTAAGTTGAAGCAAAAACAGTCAATTAATGAGTAAAGACGTGAATTTAAAAAAAAGTTATGATTACTAATGTTTAATATGGAGATCATACATGAAAAACTTTCCAATTTCTTTTGCAGATATTGCACTAAAATCACCTCTTTTATAGGAGGACTTGGACAAAAATTCTGTTCTATGAATTGACTGAGGAAAAAAATGAAATTCACATATTTTTGTACATGTGGGAGAGTTCTCCTTGTATGACATCACAAAAAGTGACTGCGTTGCCAATATGAGATATTCCATGTCATCAGTGATTGAAACTTTTAATGGTGCACCATCCTCTCAGGTTGGCTAGCACTAGGTGGGTAGTCCAGTAATATGGCATAAAGCTAGTCTTGATACCTTTACAATACATTGTACATTTCAGTATAAATTATACCTGTATAATTGGATTTATAATGGAAAACAGGAATGTATGGAAGGGCATTGTACTAATTTGTTACAAGTTTGGTAACATATTTGTGGTATGAATGTCATAAAGAATAGAGGAAAAATTTGTAATCATTTAAGTGTGCATATATTATAAGACTACATTATCAGGATGCTGCATTCTAGGTTAGGAGCCTGGACAGTTCGAGTACCACCGGTACGATTTCAGGACTCAATTATGTATACAGTTCTGTTTCTGTCCCGTTTAAAGCCAGTATAACCTATAGCACCCTTGTAAGGACCATCTGCATAAGTAAGTCGTGAACTATTATATAAATAGTGTATACTCTATCATACAATAATGAATTATATGTCCGACTAAATTACTAAATTATCCTGAGTCAAAATAAACCTGCACGAGGGATAATTTAGTATTTGGAGTTCATAGTCCAGTATTTATAGTGTACATGATAGAACATTCACTATTTATTATAGTAAATAGACTCCTAAATACAAACCCCCCTCCCATTCATGAATTTCAGATTTCTCCAAAAAGGGAATTAAAAAAACATTCTTTAGAGAATTCTAGATGTGTTTGTTTTTTTTGTTTTTTGAGAATCCTGAAATTCTGAAGAAAATTTTTTTTGGAGACTTTTTTATTTTGTTTGGTTTTTGTTGAGAATTCAGAATACTTTCTTTCTTTCAAGAATTCATAAACTTTCATAATACAATATGCTGATTTACAGAAATACATTGTCAATCGCTATGTCAAAAGGTATAAGACTAACTTTGAATGTCGCCCAGTACATAGTCTAGCTAGGTTAATCCTCTTTTAAATATCTCTTTAAAAAATCTAATCTAATCTAAGATGGTTAATGTCAGCTTAAAGCTTAAAGGGAAATTGAATCTTTCATAGAAATTTGGTTTGGATGAATGTAGAAAAATCAAACAAATATGAGTTTTTAAAAGTATATACAAGTATGGAGACCCTCCCATTGGCAATGTGACCATGTATGTATGACTTAGTGGGGAAACTTTCAGTTTGTTAGGTATACTTTCCTACATGTAAGTTCCATGTTTAACCAACATTGGCCATTTAGAAAAAAAAGTACTTTGTATAAAAAACACTCTCTGCACATCACATCAGAACAAAAAATACAACACAAGGACAACGCAAAGCGTAGCAAGCCCTCGCTGGAAACAAACGGCATAATACATCAGAACAAGTTACATGTACGTCCATTAGACGGAATTAAGTTACTGACATCTGGGGATTGAATGAAAAGAAAGTTTACTACTTTACGGAATAACCCAAGACATTTGACCTTTGACCTAATGTACATTATTCCAAAATCAAATTTAGGCTGTATTTGATACCATGCATGTACCTTCATATCAAATTTCATGAAAATCTGTCAAACATTTTAAATTATCAAACGGAAACCAGTACGTGTTCACAAGATTTGTTACAGGCGGACGGAAGGACGGACAGTAGCGTTACTATTTTCCCCTCAGATTTCCTCCGCAAGGGGATTATCTGACAAACATTACTAAAGTTATCGAATGGCAGGGGCCGCGGAGCCGCGGGGATTAAGGGGGGCTGCAGCCCCCCACTTTTTTCAGTAGACGTGTACAAAAACGCGAAAATGACTATAAGATTGTGCTTTTTTGCATGATCCGCCCCCCCCCCCACTTTCAAAAAACGCTCCGCGGCCCCTGAATGGAAACCGCATATTCAGATGCATAGTAAGCTATTTTGCATATTTAATGAGCTATGACCTTTGACTTAAATACTCTGAAATCAAACTTAATAGGCTGTATGTTTATACAATATGTACAGTACCTTCATACCATATTTTATAAAAATCCATTAAAGGGGAAGTCCACCCTGAACTTAAGTTGTTTTTAATAAAAGCAGAACAGTGAGAGAAACATATCAGTGAAGGTTTGACGAAAATCCGACAAAGGATACAAAAGTTATGAATTTTTAAAGTTTTCATTTTGTGACGACGTCACATGCGAGCTGCTCTCCTATACGTTGTGTACTGTAAATTCCATAAATTGCCATTTTCTCAGAAAAATAATAATTATTTTACCTGTGCATTCGATATATTATCAGACACATGCTTTTATACACGCCTCTATGAAATAGATCCATTCCTTCATCAAGAACCATGAAAAGGGGGCAATTTATGGAAATTACAGTACACAACATATGGAAGAGCAGCTCGGAAGTGACGTCACAAAATTAAAAATTTAAAATTCATAACTTCGTTATCCTTTGATGGATTTTCGTCAAACCTTCAATGATATGTTTCTCTCATTCTTCTGCTTTTATTAAACCCAACTTAATTTCAGGGTGGACTTCCCCTTTAAACATCGAACGGAAACCACACTTTCGCATATTTAAAGACTTATGACCTTTGACCTACATACTCCAAAATCAGACTCAGGCTGTATTTTGATCCATGTACCTTCATACCAAATTTCATTAAAATAAGTCAAACATTACCGGTACTTAAGCTATCGAACGGAAACTACATTTTAACATATTTAAAGACTTATGACCTTTGACATATATACTCCGAAATCAAACTCGGGCTGAATTTTGATTCCATGACGTCATACCAAAATTCATTAAAATCCATTGAACTTTACTAAAGTTAACGAACTGAAGCCATAATTTGCTATTTTCGCATATTTAATGAGCTATGACCTTTGACCTACATACTCTAAAATCGACCTTAGGCTGTACTTTATACCATGCATGCACCTTCAAATCAAATTTTATTAAACTCTGCAAAACACATCTACAGTTATCAAAAGAAAACCATTTGTTATGGAAGCACGGAAGTAAGGATGGACGGCAGCTTTACTATATCCCCTCTGACTTCATCCGCGAGGGGATAATAAAGTCTTCCACTATGTGTCAGGTATGTTTTAGCTATGTGACTCGACTGGACACACAAAATATGGGTAAACTAATTGAAGTTAGAGAAACCAATCAGTGAAGGTTTTGAATGAGTCAGAAATATTCAACAGGAAAGTCTACACAAATAATATATATTGATTTTTATGAATAAGCAGAAAAATCAGGTTGACAGCTTGATGATAGTTATCTGACAAAATCTGAAAACGGATTATAAGCAATGTTATACAAATTTTAATTTCCAATCAAACAAAAATCTACAACTCTGTGACGGACATGTAACTTAAAAATTCTTATCACATTTTTGTAGACGTTTCCATGGTAGTTGATAAAGTAAAAAATCTAAAAGTGTGTGAAAACATATGGCACAGGCATGAATAAATTGTGTTCAAGAAATTATGAATTCATTCAATTTTAGCACACAATAAAAGTTCATCGCAGAGTTTTAATTTGGGTTTAAAAAAAACTTTGTAATAAATCCTTTATCAAATATTCACCAAACTTTTACTGATAATTACTAGATCTAGCTAGCTTGGGTCGGCTCCCAAGACGAAAATCCAATTGGATATCTCTCTGCACACCTGGATCTGTGCGATTGTTAATTAAAGAACCAAACATGAACTCAATCACTTTTCTAGCAATATTTTGAATTACATCCTGGGATACAAAAAGCTTTGAAGATATTTTGATTAAAAATTATATTGAAGGAAATTAATTTTTCCTGGCTCATTATATAATTTCATATGTTATGCAGATGCAGAGAGTTTGAAACCCTATATTAGTTTACCCAGATCTACATGTATTCATAGATCCATTTTTGCATATGGCATGTAAGTTTTTGCTGTGATTAGATGAAATAAAATTCATCGTTTTTGTAAATATTTTTTGTGTACATGTGTAACAGGGATATAATTGGTTACATTTATACTGGTCACAAGAAATAATTTGGTGGAGGCTAGGCTTCAAGACTTGGTCGCTAGTAGACAGTCAGCCGAACTGTCTCATGACCTGAACCAAGTCTGAATTTGATGTGATTTCAGTTTAAATAGAGACCTCTACCTAGATTTATAGTTGAGATCTCAATCACGATGGAGTAATAATTAATGGTTTAATGCTCTGTCAAACTCATTTCACATAGACTCTATTTGACCTCAACCAGAATATTTCTTTACATAGTGACAACTAGTGTCTTTGAACAACAAAATAGCAGACACAACTTACTTACTACTGACGTTAAGTTTTAATTGGCTTAGTCTAGATCTAATCTACTTAACTTAGACACTATAAAATAATATATATTCTAAGCCCGGGTCACATGCAACCAGCTCAACCAAACCAGTCCCAGCAAGCTACTATAGACTCTACTAGTACTAGTAGTACGACTATAGTGCTAGAATAGATAAGTGATATACATAAAAAAATAGGTCTAACACTAGTTTGTTAAACCGAACTTAGAGATCTGAGATAAATAGATAACTGAACTGACAGTTAACTGTTGTTGAGTTAAAGTTAGATCTTAATCCCTACGTTGAAAGTCTACGTTGCACTTGCACTTGCAGGCAGTGCTGCACACCATTTGAAATGATTTCATTTGCACTTGTCCAACAGTTAGAATGTCTATCAATCATGTCTTGACTTGCATTGTTGCAAGGTTGCATTTTTTTAAAGAGTAACCATGTCAGAAACACGAACTGCAGATTATTCTAGTAGGTTATGTAAGTTTCTCACCTGTATGCTGTCTTCAGTAGATGAAGTGTTAGCGACGCAAATCATGCTGATGACGTCGGGAAACTCGACATTCCTGTTTCGGCTGAATGCCCTCCGTCCATTCACTATCAGGAACAACTGGTTCTGCTTTCGCTCAAGCCACCACATGTTGAACTAATATAGTCTGGATCAAGGCACTTTTAACGAATCGACGATATCGATGACTTTTTCGAGCAAAATAGATGCTTACTAAACTAAAATGCCAACTAACTATATAATAGAGGAATGTTTGAGTATCTATACAAGTCGTCAAGGCAAGCTTAAACTGACAGAAAGCGAAGTGAATACTCTAGACTATTAGAGAGATTAGTAATGCTTTAAACACGACGGGGCGAATGCAGACTATTCATATGCAAATGAGTCTACACTATACCAATATAAGCCCTCGATCTATCACTTGTTATGCAAATTTTCGCACGCGACCATTGCCGATTGGTGTTTCGTTGTGAATGGGGGACAGGAAGTGTACCCCTTTGTTTATTTTGTTATGTAAAATAGAAGAGCTCAGTATCATCATCTAATTTCTTGAAGGCAAGCATGTAATCCCCAGGCACGCAGTGAACTTATTGTTGTTTTGTGATGGGGGGGGGGGGGGGGGTTACTAGTTTGTCAAATAAATTGTAACTATAGCTGTGATATGCCAGTGCATAGCTTAATCAAATCGTTCATTGTAAACAGCATGTCATTTTTATTTTCAATTTTCAATGTAGTTTCAAAGCAAATTGGAAACATTTCGGCGATCCCTCATTTTCTTTTAAAGTTGACTCATAATACCATGGAGGACTAAGAGCTAGGAAGATAATTATGTTATGCCTTCATGACTGCATATTTTTCTCGCTTAGTTTTAGACAATTGCAGGCAGCAACCAAACAAGAAAGAAATTAATTTAATGATTTAGTTATTTGGCGCCCCATTTATAAATCATATCATATTTGACTCACTTTGGATGACTGGGCCGAGGTTTATTTATTACCCCAAAAGTATATGCGCCTAATCTTAGTCTCACATAGTGAGACATTTCTAAAAGAAGAAGAAGAAAAAAAAGAAGGAGAAGAAGAAGGAGAGGAAAAAGAAGAATTAAGAAGAAAAAGTTCAGAATTACAGAAGAAAACGGCGAAAGTCACACTCAAGTGACTGCGAGCAAGACTAGCTCTCTCAAACTGTTAAACAACCATTTCGGTTTTATGAATGGGGTGACAGAGCGTGGTCCAAGTACCCCTTTGTTTGTTACGTAACATAGGAGAGCCCAGAAAACATAATCCTAGACTTGTTGTTGAAGTTGTTTTTGTAATGACTTCATGTGTCAAGTTTAACTTATAATTGTAACAATGTGTCACAATCCTCTGGTTATCATTATTATCTATTATTCTACTTCTACTCCGATCCTAAACTAAAACCGTACGTGATTTACAACTATTCATATTACTACTGTCAGGCGGCGGGGGGGGGGGGGGGGGGGGGGGGGGGGGGGGGGGCATAAACCCAAATTTAATTTATAAAGTGCCCCAAAACGGGTACGAACAGGATTCCCCCCCCCCCCCCTCGAGAACAAACACACACCATCAAGGCGGAGTAACAGAGGCTGATTTCAAAGCAAAAATCATAATTTAAAAACTTTGTTGGCCGTTGATCCCTCATTTTAAAAGAACAGCGGTGGATCCAGGATTTGGAAATAGAGGGGGTGCAGACGGCAAATTTGAATAAAGAGGGGGCGCAGAAGGAAATTTTCTTAGTATGTTCAATGTGTGATTCTCAACAACAAGAAAGAAAGGAGGGGCTTGCGCCCTCTTGCGCCCCCTGCATGGATTCGTCACTGTAAGAATAGGTCTAAGCAACAACAAACATGTTAGTTAAACCTTCACTTCCAACACTTTTTATAATTTAATTTTGGAGCCCATTCGTTAAATTCATTTTCTTATAATCTCCTTTAAATCTGCCCCTGATATATTTGAATGCATAATGCGGGCTTCATTTTTTTTCCCCTGAAGACCTAAAATTTGACCCGTGTTAAAATATATTATGAGGAGGGGGGGGGGGGGGTGCTCAATCCGAGACCCATCCAAAATAAGCTAGGCTCAGTGATATCTAAACTCCACCGTAAAAACCACCCCCCCCCCCCCAAAAAAAAAAAAAAAAAAAAAAAAATCGAAATGAAGTCATGCGAGCTGTTTTTTTTTGTTGTGTTTTTGATAAAAGAATGATATCTGAGCTCCCCCCCCCCCCAATATTTTGGGGGAACTCATCACACGGGTGGAAATGTTATCCTTTTTTGGGAGGATCGAGAGAGGAGCTCAATGATAATCGATTCCCAACAAAAATATGGTAGACACAATGATATCTGAGCCCCCCCCCCCCTCAAAAAAAAAAAAATTGGGAGAGGGCTCAGTAATATTTGAGCCACACCAAAATTATAAGTGGCTTAGAGATAACTGTCCCCCACCAAAAAAAATTGGTGGTTGTTCAATTAATGTCTGAGCCACCCCCCCCCCCCCCCTCCGCACACACCCCTCTGAAAGATAGAAGGGGCAGGCTTAACCCCAAATCCGTCTTAGTTTGTTCCTACTAAAAAAAAACCCTGCCCCTGATATATTAGAATGCATAACATGGGCACGATTTTTTTTTTGCCCGATAAAGACCCGAAATTTGACCTGTGTTAAAATAAATTAGGAGGAGGGGGGGGGGGGGGCTCAATCCGAGCCCCACCCAAAATATGATGGGCTCAATGATATCTGAACTCCACCCACAAAGAAAGAAAGAAAAAAAAATGAAGTCATGCGAGATGATTTTTTTAAAATTTGGATAAGAAATTATTTCTGAGCCCCCCCCCCCCCCAATATTTTGTGGGAACTCATAACGCGGATGGAAATTTTTTCCTTGAAAGAGAATTGAAATTTGACTTTTGTTAAAATATCTTCGGAGGAGAGAGGAGCTCAATGATAGTCGATTCCCAACAAAAATATGGTAGACACAATGATATCTGAGCCCCCCCCCCCCAAAAAAAAAAAAAAAAAAACAATGGGGTAAGGGCTCTATAATATTTGATCCACACCAAAATTATAAGTGGCTTAGTGATAAATGTACCCCACCCAAAAATTTGGTGGTTGTTCATTGTCTGAGCCCCCCCCCCCCCCCATCCGCACACACCCCTCTCCAAGATAGGGCCATTAGCCCCAAATCCGCCTTTGTTCTTCGTATGAGCAAATTTTCAAACTGAAGTGCACGCGAGCTGATTTTTTTTTTCTCGATAGAGACCTAGCTGAAATGTGACCTGTGTTAAAATGTATTGGGAGGGGAGAGGGCTGTATATAGGGCCAAGTTTCGTAAAAATAATGCAAATCGTAAAGATGCATAGCCTACGTTACACACTTCAAATGGGGGTGTTTCCATTTGTTGACCTCACCTTACACCCCTAACTCTAAGCATAATCTTAAACATAACCCTAACCCTACCCATGTCAGCTAGGATGACAGGGGGTGTATACATGCAGGTAACATGTGGAAACACCCATTTGAAGTGTGTGAAGCCTGTGCACTTTACAATTTTTTTTTTTTTTTTTTTTTTTTTTAACGAAAAGTGGTCCTGCAGATCGAGGCTCATATAATTTTCGAAATGCAAAAAACCCAACAAATTAATGATTTAGTTTCTTATTACACCCTTTAGTTGGCATCTCACTTGTTCGACGTTGGAGTCGAGGGCAGAGGCACCTCGGCCTACGTTGTACTGTATAGAATTATATAGACTCAGACTAGCGGGAGTGGCGTAAACAAAAACAACAATAAAATAAAAGCTGGAGACTTGAGGTCGATGGATCGAACTCGATCTTGTAAAGTTCTAATTTTGAGGTTGTCCCAACAGTACAGCAATTAAATGTCTTTACCCCCACCCTCACCCTGCCCCCTCCCCCTCCCCCCATCCCGTACAACGAATCTTTAAATGCGCGTCCCGCGTCCATCACAGACTGGGAGTAAGACTATGCGTTGAACCGATTTCTAAGAAGTTAATAATCCCGCACGGCGATGTGTCGAGCTAGTTTCTAAGAAATTCCCACGGAGCGCGGCGGACATGTCTACCTACGTGTGTACTATACTTCTATAATCCCCATGTTTGGGTGTTTTGTAAACAATAGATTTCCCATCGACAGCACGTGCCGAATCTTGAATCTTGAATTTGTTGCACCAAAAAGCTACGTTGACAGCTGTCCGGGAGAAGAGTCAAGACTTGATTATCTACGGTACCTTCAGAGTACTGGCGTTGCGTTGGAACGAGATAATTACAATGCTTCTCTTGTGTTATGTTTAACACTAATCGACAGTTATGTATTATCTTGAATTGATTGACTTACAAGTTGATATTAGACGACACTAGTTTCGACTGACGTCATTCTAGTGTCAGTGGTCAAGTTCGTTGCTTAGGTACTTACGAGTCGTTAATGTTGTTTATTTGTTACTTTAGACTTCTTAGTGCTGTTATTATATACAGTAACGTAACTAAGATCAGTTATGTTACAATTTACAAGTGTTACAGCTACTAGTACTACCCAGTGTTTTGTTACTTAGATTCACACGTTGTGCACTGTAGTGTACTGGGCGAGACGGAGCTAAGTTACGGTGTTAAACAGTTATTGGACTAACGTTGCTGTACTAATCCACAGTAGCTATAGACTCTGGCAATTTGGAAGTCTATTTTATGTTGGATCTAGATCTAACTTTATGTCTAGTATTAGTAAAACTAGATCTAGTAGATCTAGAACTTAAAGGTACTAGATCTATGTCCCTTTTGCAGCCAACCTCAAATTCTGTAGAACTTTGCAGGAATTATGAATAGGGTCTAGCCTATGTCATGTAGGCCTAGACCTATGTCCTATCTGTGAAATTTAAATGTTAGCAGTGTCCTCATATTCAAATTATGCAAGGAAACCCGTTTACTTGCTAGACTTCACTGTCAGACACTACTGAGTGACTGACTGGCTTTTTTTTCTTCTTTGGTCATAAAATACATGAAAAGAGTTGTAAAGGGTACATGAGCATTTGTCTAGATCTACATCAATAACCCACTTCTTGTGATGGCCAAGATTAAACTGATTGAATCTTTGCGCAGCATAAAACGTAGACCTCTATGACCATTCGGTACAGTTGTCTGAAAATCAAGACTATTACTTTTGGGCTCTAGGCCTATAGCCCTAAAGTCGATTTGACAACTAATAGATCTAGTCGTTATTTTCCCACTTGAAGACATTTTTAAGCCCCACTTTGTTTAGGGAAGTTCTAAATTAGTATTATCTTTCAAATGCAGTTGGAATTTAACTTTTTCATTTTTTTGGCCTGCAAATGGGACATAGTACCTTTAAGTAAGAAGGAATACAATGTCACTTTACAAATATGTTGACTGGGCTAGGCCACTCATACACGATGTCAATACAAAGTATAGGCCACTCATAACACGATGTCAATACAAAGTATAGGCCACTCATAACACGATGTCAATACAAAGTATAGGCCTAACAGTTAGGCCCTGGCCGAAGTTAAAGTGATCTTTTTAAAATTTGATGGTCATAGATCTAGTCTACTCATAGTTTAGATCT